TTTGTGACACCGTTATTGGAAAAGTTAACTAAATAGACATAATAAAACGTTTAGTTTAAGTGGAATCACAGATGTCAAACTGAAAATTGAAATGGTAAAAATCTATGCTATCAGTATCCCAAATACACTTAAAAAGATTAGAAGATTTGTTTATAATCCACTTTAATAGAATGATCTATAAAAAGGCGCCTGAATAATTTTTGTTTCTGCAGTAGATTCATCATTCATTGTTTTCATAGCTGCTATTATTAAATTAAGATTGTTTTTCAACTATAACCCAAGAATGATGCATGTATTGCAAATTCATTTCTACCTCTGGTAATATATCAAGAAAGTATCCGAGTTGTCAAAACATTATATATTCTGTTTACTTGTACTTGCATTGCAAAATTATTATAACTAACAATAGATCAATAAATATTGTAATCATTTTACCACTTTTTGTTTTTAATATATGTATATTTGATATATATCAATATGGACGGGGTGGGGAGAAAAATCACTTGATCAATTTAACAATCTGTTATTGGAACTATAAACTGTTGAAATCATAATATAATGTAATTGTATTAGAAAATTTTCCAAAAGACAATAGAATGTGTGGGCTGTTACAATTTTCAACATAACTACCTAGTACTTGAAATTAAGACATAAATACAATAACTATTTCTTAAAATACAATTACAAACTAAATCAACAAATATATTGTTTTTCAATAATTAATAAACAGAAACCCTCAATTTACATCTTCAGGTTTACTTTTGTCTGTGAAACATTATTTGATGAAAAAAGTCAGTCATGTTGTGCTTTAGTAAAATCATTGTTTTATGTCAAAGAACAATGTTTTTTTTAAAAATAAAACCAGTTTGAATTTTTAACAATTGTTGGAGGAGCAACTATTTTAAGTCTGTTGTATGCATTCAATAAAACATCTTTAATAAGCATTTCTTATGTTCTTAATACATTATCTCATCACTTGGCATGTCATGATTCTTTTGAACAAAGTCTGTCATGTGCAGCTGAAGAAAACACTAATAATGTTTTAGTTTTTTCAACAGTTAAGTTTACATTTTCTTCCTTGACCTAAACTTAAAGTATCTTCTTTTGCTTATATTTCTTCTTAAGATATGTCCTTTAACTTTTTATTTCATCTCAAGATATTTTTATTAAAGGGACATCCCACTTTTTTTTTCCAAGTCGAAAATTTTTTTTGCTCAAATTTGTGAAAAGTATACACTAAAATTTAAAGAAACGTGGCCTTAAAAGTTAACAATGTAAACACCAAAAATATTTATAAACATTACGTAAGGTTTTTAAGTGCATCATGCATTTTGGAAGCTGTTAGAAAACTACGGAATGGATTTGAGTAAAATAGACGCCTAATTGTAGAGAAATATGTCTCCTATGTTTCCTGAAGATTTCAACTATATACAACAAACCATTATAAAGCCAATCACCAAAACTACTAAATTAACAATTAGTACTCTCCGTTTTTAATGAAGCCTTTTAAAACAAATTCAGTTTGATCAAGAAGATACAGTTATAAAAAGCATACTTTAGAAATACTTTCATGTTTAATTTACGACATTTTTGATAATGAATAAAAAGCGGAATGTCTCTTTAAGTCTAAGATATCTATTTACTTACCTTACATGATGAGATAAGATATTGCTGCAAGGAATTTTGTCTCTATGAGATCATTGTGGAGATTATATTTCCAAAAAACTTGTCCACAGTAAAACAGGTTTTGACATGCTGTACTTAAAGGGATCTTTGGCCAATTTTTGTTCATTGGGAATACTTAGTACAGTCTAATTTCTAAGTTAGATTTCAGGGAATACTTATTTCAGGACTGGTGCCATGGCTATATACAGTATATTATATAACATGCAGTGTATGTTTGTGTGTGTGTCTTTTCAACTAAAATCATACTAATGACTAACTAATTTTCACATAATTAATAGACTTATGTATTGCTCTGTGACCTAAGCCAGTGCTTTCACTGAGACTCGTCTTAACACCTTAATACCATTTTCTTTGATTCCATGAAAATTGATATTACTATGACATCACTATAACAAATCTTTTTAGTGACCCTTTCTAGAAAATCAACCTAGCTATCAAAGTCTTAAGAAAGTGACACTTACTAGCTCAAAATATTAATATCTTTCATTGCCAAGATATCACAATTCATAGAACTTAATTGACAATCAGAAGAGAGTCTGACTTGCTACCGACTGATTTATCCAGGTAATTGCAAAGCAAGCTAACCCATTAACACTTAAAGAAGAAAATAATTGTCTACCATATTATTGTCATCTTTCCCTTAACAGAAAATCACCCGAATCAATTTTTATGAGATTATTCTAAGATTTATGAGATAATGACATGAAATAAAATCATAATCATTTTAACTTGGAATCATTGTCAACAAATATGATTATTAAGAGTCATAAAATACTCGCTATAAATTAACACATTATCTTAAGATGATATAGAGCTTAAACCAATCCTCAAATGCTTTGTTTGAGATTTTGTATTATGAAATTCATTTTAAGACAATAACATGATACCTTATTCTATCATATTTCACAATTTTGATGAGAAAATCAATGATGAATAATATCAGTAACACCACTGTTAGCTCAATATTAGCCTGTTGGATACTTTTGAATATTTTCACAAACTAATGTATTTCCCATTAAAAAAATATTTTTACATGATAACATGTTATTTTTCTCTATAATAAATTTCATAATTTAGTTTAAAAATCAATCCTGAATGATATGATCAACACCACGGTTAGCCCATGGTTTACTTCAGATTGTTACTGTTGGTATATTTTGATATTTTCATCAACCTTCTTCACATGATTCACATTCATATATTTTATCAATTTTTAAACTTATATCATTTGAATACGTTTATTAGGTAATTTGACCATTTTAAAATGATGTAATATGACTGTAAATGTATATATACCATATTCTATTAATGAAAATCACCATAATGCAAGTGATAATCTTCACAGAGTATCTGATTATCTTCCTGAAGGAAATATATTGTGAATACAAAATGTAGTCAAATTTAACAGAATATGATGTAGGACTATTATTTTGCCAGTACCAAATTTCATTTATTTGTCCTTCTGGGGGAGTAAATTTGTGATTTATTAAATTTCTCGTCTTTTACATGGATATAAAATCTAATTGACAGGTTGGTTGGTAAATGAAAAGTTAACGTCTGCTTCCAGCTAAGGCTGATATCACAGTCTATAAATCAACTGAACTCTACTTGTTTTTAGGCCTTATAATTACGGTATGGAAAGTATTGTTTAATCTGCCATAAATAACTTCAAGCCAACAGAGGTGATATTCTATATATTGTGGGAACAAGAATCAGTAAATGGAACAGGTAATAAAAGCCACCAACATTGAAAGCACCAATGAATAATAAAGGCGTAGGTTGGTAGATAATGTTCCACACAAACTAACAAATGTTTAATTAACCTGTATCAAATGAAAGTAAAGGAAATCTTAGTGAATCAATACATAGTGTCAATGATCATTAAGAGTTCAGAAGAAAATCAATTGCCAGTGATCACTTAGACACGTAAAACTGGACAACTTACCCCATAAGTGGAGGCCGCATCTTGTCTGTGTGTTTGATCCAAATTGATTGATTTAATGGGAATGGACGAAGACTTTGGTTTGGTTCTTCCCGTGTCTTCATTAGCACTTAAAAACTCAATATCTTCGGTCGAACTGGAATTAGAATGGACACATCAAATTTAGCTCAAATTAGACATTTTTTTGTTTTATAATACTAATCAATATGTACTTCATAATGCATGGATTGTGATATTTTTAACAAAGTTTTAAGTTTAACAATATTCTAGATAATTCTTTTTATTATACCATTGATATTTATCTTTAAAGGAACACTACCTCTTAGAATTGACATATAATTTAAACTTGGTGAACAAGAGTATATGTTCATCAGTTGGACTTAACAGGTGCCACGACTAAATAATAGAATCTATAGACCATAGAAATATCCATCAAATTAAATAATAAATGAAACAGGCTTCTAAGCTTAATTCAAAATTTAATTAATTATTACCTAGTGTTATGGATTTATTAGATTATAGAGAGATTTTGTTGTATAGTTATAACACTAGGTATATCTACTGATCAACAAAAAAAGGCTCATTTTGGCCGAATAAAATTATTGATTTGGTCATCTAAAGGGGTAGTATCTTTTAAGTGGATATAATGGCCTAGAAAATAATAGCTGATAAGGCTTTATTTCAGCTATTGTTGCTATTTGTAAAATAACATGTCACATGCAAGCTGATGCAAGGTTAAAAAAGATGATTGTTAAAAGAGCCGGAATTTATTTTCGCTATCACAAGTATCATTTGACTTGGATGATATTTGCAATAGTGGTAGCAAGCTTACATAACCAGGACAGGAAATCTGAATAGTTCAAAAAGAGGTAATGTGTCCAAGAAAAAAGCTAGAAAACCTCTTTTGAATCCACATTAAAGGAAGACTTTATTCTAAGTTGAACCAAGTCAGTAGGGATTAGATTGTACTCTGCTATATCACTAGAGGCTAGGGCCATTAGTTGTTGTGGGTTCGAATCCTCCTCAAGGTTAGACAGTTAGGAAATTCATATGCCACACCCAGTGTTTCCAAGTGCCAGCCCAGAGTCGACTTTTGCCCCCTTATGTCTACTACAAAACTTGTGTTAAGTGCTTGTACAAAAAATAGAATGATAACCCCTTCCACAGTTATGCCACTTTGTTCCCTTGCGACTACCTATTTTTTTATAAATAATAATTTCTTTCTCTTTTCAGGACAGGTGAACATGCCAATCAAAGTTAAAGCAGAGCAATAAGGACTTAATTCACCATGAACGGAACAAATGTAACATTGACAGATGACCTATCCATCTTTAAATACCATATATGGGGTGTAGCTGGCAATGTGCTTGGAGTGTTTGGACTCTTGGGAAATATATTGTCCATAATTGTGTTAAGTCATCCCAAGATACGATCTTCAACTTCCTATTATTTAATAACGTTAGCTATTTATGATAATATCATACTAGTGTCTATGGAAGTATTTTTCAACCTACCTAGGAAGGAAATTGCCTTGATGGAAACCTATATGTGTTATTTTCAATATGTGTTACCTGTTGGATATCCAATCTCTCTAGCAGCACAGATGGGTTCAATCTATACCACAGTTGCATTTACTGTTGAACGCTACATTGCCGTCTGTCGGCCATTACATGTGTCCAATACGTGCACACGTTCCCGTGCCCGAAAGACAATGGCACTCATATTAATCATGTCCATTCTGTATAATATTCCGCGTTGTTTTGAATACGAGGCTACACCACATATATTTAAACACAATAAGACTTGTATTTTTGTGAGTAATACAGATTTTGGAAATAATGAATATTACCGCCATGTTTATCTGATTTATTTTCAACTTATTTTTATGTTTCTCATTCCGTTTGCAATACTACTAGTATTAAACATGGCATTAATTAAGGCAGTGAAACGTTCCCGACAGAATATTAGACGTATATCCTCTTCCTCGCGAACAAATGACAATAATCTCACTGTGATGCTTATTTCTGTGATATTTGTGTTCCTTTTTTGTCAATTTCCTACAATTGTGGACAATATCATCCGTGCTCTGGCCTCAAAAGAAACTTCACGGTCTGTATATAGACAGAAATTCTATGTGATATGTACATTTATGGTGGAAATTAACTCAGCTGTAAACTTCATATTATATTGTGTCTTTGGGAAACGATTCCGATCAACTTTTCAACATATCTTTGGAAATTTCTTTAAAAGACTTCAATACAAGAGTTCTTTCAGCAACAGATCTCAAACCCAAAATGAGTATGGAAATGGTAATATACATGAACTACAAATGACTCTCATCTGACTATCTGCCAAAAAGCAGGGTGCACAATCAATTGTATTAAAGAAGAAATGTGAAGTAACAGACAAATACAAGTCTTGTGCTGAGAGAATAAGAGTTAATGTAGCAGATTTTCTGTAAAATGTTTCAACCAGGTGTTAACTTATTTATCAAGCAATGACATAATCTCTTAAAAATATACAGGTCCAATTCAATATATTTTTAGTAAAACTAGAAACTAAATTTCATGAAATATGGTTGAAAAATGTAAATCATCCAACATTTTCAAAACAAAAATACTCCTAAATTTCACATAAAATTCATTTTTGTTTTATATATTTTTGAAAATTTGTTGAAAATTTAAGGAGCAACAGAATTTTCAATAATCAAATTCTTTTAAAACTGTAGAATAAAGAGTGTTTACACAGAGAATCTGAATGTAAAATGGCTGTTAAAATTGATTAAATATTAAAATTTAATTTTCTATGTAATCATTATGTGCTATTAATCATGAAATAAAGTATTTCATTAGGTCATTAAATCATGAAATCTTATACATGTAATAAGATCTTGATTTGTATTTCAACATAAATTTCAACTGCCTTTATGATAGCTAGAAAGCTCACCCATTGGACAGCAATCTGAGACTGGACTGAATCTGAAAGAGATGTGATAAGTGGTTAAAGTGTTTACATACAAGCTACAAGGTGGAGAGAATGGACAGAACATCATAAATATAGAGTAATAAACCTGTACATATATGATCAGATATGGTACAGATTGACAGTTATAAACCTGTACATGTATGATCAGACATGGTACAGATTGAAAGTTATAAACCTGTACATGTATGATCAGACATGGTACAGATTGGCAGTTATAAACCTGTACATGTCTGATCAGACATGGTACAGATTGGCAGTAATAAACCTGTACATGTATGATCAGAGATGGTACAGACTTGACAGTAATAAACCTGTACATGTATGATCAGACATGGTACAGATTGACAGTTATAAACCTGTACATGTATGATCAGACATGGTGCAGACAGACAGTATTAAAACATGTAGTTGTATAAAATACATTCCATACCATACAGAAAACCTTGGACATAATTTAATCAGCAAGATTCATCCATCATGAGCAAAAAGAAAAAGCTTAACAGTACTATATAGCTACTGCTGTCAGGGCTAAAAACCTTGACCAAAAGCTTTAACCGTTGGCCAACATTTGTCCCATTTTTAAAATAATTTCAAAAAGACTTCTGTTACATGTGTAATCACCTGAAGTGTTGTGGGTACTTTTGTAATATTTAGGTTACTTCCTAAGTGGTTGAGGGCACTTCTATGATGTACTATGGATAATCCAAGCTGGGAGCTAGTGAACAATATTGATAATCTAAGCTTTAATCAGATTAATGCTTTAATATAATTATGCTAATTAAAAACAGATTATTTCTATTATCTATATAGTTGGGATGGCACCTTTAAAAATATGTACTGTTTGATAAAAATATTCATTCACATCTGGAGACAGTATAAAATGTATGGACATGCCAGAATCTAACTCTGGACATTCAGGTTAATGAGCTAGACACAGGAGCTCTATATATAGAGAAAGTTTAAGATGTGATTTGTATTCAGAATTGAAATAGGTTGCCCTATGTCCACTATGTTGTATGGGTAGAATAAATGGTAATTCAGTCATGTTTCCAATGTGCACAAAATAAATCAAATGATTCTTGTTTATGTGTGAAAACGTGTCTGGATGAGCATAGATATATTTATCAAACTATGGTCAAGCAAAAATATTTGTGAACATCCAGCGCTGCCAAAAAGTTAAACACAAGCATTCTATACAATTTTAAGGTAGTATAAATAGTATCATAAGCCATGAAGTCATGGTTACTTAAAGATACACTACCTCTAAGGATGATCTAAAAAATTGCAAACCAAAATAAGTCTTTGTTTATCAGTGGACTTAACCTGGTGTCATAACTATAAAACAGAATCCCTTTATAATCCAATAATCATTTAACTAAATAACTTTGAATAAGTTTTGAAGCGATTTTCAATAATTACTTAGTTTAATGGATATAACTATGGTGTATAGATTCTATTCTTTAGTCATGACACTCTGTAATTCCAAAAGATAAAGATATGCTCTTATAGACCAAGTTTGAGACTTTAAATTTTATGCCCATTCTGTGAGGTAGTATTCCTTTTAACTACCTCAAAATGAAATAGCCTGCTTGGGTTAATGAATACCTATACGTGAACAGATATTCTTGCTTGACTATATACAAAAATATTGTTTTGAATTCCAATATCCATAGTATTGTTTGTTTATTGTTGATTTCAAGCATTGTTAATCAAACGTGTCTTTATTGTTTTGTTTAAAAATTTTATACATTCAAATAATAAAAAAATCAAATCTGACATTGTTAATTCATTTCTGGTCTGTGAGGGATCAAAATCAACTGTGATAGGGTTATATGTCTACATAGTAAAGTAAGACTTGCCAGGATCACCAGATATCATTAATGAGTTGAGGTTTGCCCACCCACTAATCCAAAAAACTTTTAGGATAATTTATTGTAAAGAGGTTTACTAAAAAATCTATATATGTATCGGGGACACTGATAGCATCAATTTGCATCATTCCAATTTTCAACCAGACGTCTTTGGTTCCTGCAATTTCAATTCCAATTCAAGTCCTTCACTCTAAAGACTAATCACAAAATATGCCTGAATCATACATAAGGTTAGTGGCATCATGAACCACAGACGTCTGATTAAAAATTGGAATGGTGCAAATTGATGCTATCAATACCCTCTTTACAATCAATCCCTTGTTTAAGCCCATCCAATTAATCTGAAAACAGATACCAGTATTGACTGTGACATTAAAAATCATTCTCGAGAGGCCCAAAACCTATCGCAACCCATTGTCCACAATCCAGCTTAACATAACAGTAACATAACTGCAGCAAGAAAATGCAGATAGGGCCATAGCTAAATTGAATTCAAAGTATAAATACTACTGTGCAACTTGGTTTGTCAATTTGGCATAATACTTTACATAAACAGTCACCATGGCCAAAATGGTCAACTTCATACATTTACTTCAAACCATATATCTGAAGTAAGCCATGATTCAAACACAACATAGATGACATTTGTTCTAAATGTTGAAATTTTTTTTGGCTGGAAATTCACAATAAATAGTGTAAAAAGAGTCAAATGGGATTTATCAAAATGACAGAAGTAAATATATAACATCACCTGATTTGCCATACATTCATCATAACTTTTTAATTCATTATAATCTATTAGCTTAATAACTTTAGCCTAGACATATAATATAATACATGTCCTCACAAATTATAAAATATTGGGTTCAAAAATTGGTCTATTTATCAATCTAAATCTTGGTATTGGCATTTCTAAAAAAGTTAGAAACAATTTCAAATATTCTAGTAGTAAACATTAAAAAAGTTCCTTTTTCTAGATTTTCAAGTAAAATATACAATTTAATTTGATTTGCAAATTTGATAAATATTTATTTTGGCTAATCATAGGAAATATTGGTTTAAAAAAGGGGTCAATTTGAATCTTAAACTACAATGTAATACTCGTTAAACTGAACCCTTGTATGGTGTCTGTTTATGATATATCAATCTGTGACCAAGGGAAAAAAGTTTTTTATTCTTTATTAATGTTGGCAATCATCAGAGAAAGAAAGTGCATAAAAAGGTTCTCAGTTCTAAAGCAAAGTGGAGAGAACAGCAGCTGAGCAGGCAATAAGGTGACCGATTAAACATAATTTGATTGCAAATGAATTCTGTTACACTGGCTCAGTTAATATAATAAGAGCTAGAACTTCTGGTAAAATGGCATTTATATCTGACATCTTTTATCAAACAATATGTCAATATATAATAAACTGAAGAAAATTCGATGTATATAAAAATGGAAACAAAATCAGACAAAAAAATTTGTCTATGCTCTATGCTTTTGTCAGATGTTGATCACTTGTCAGCTTTCACAAGTCATTAATTTTTAATCTATATTGAATGAGGAAACAGTGACCCTTTACAAAAAAGTGCTATATATATAATGACAAAACAGTGACCAATCACATAAAAATACTATATATAAAATGATGAAACAGTGACCCTTTACAAAAGAATGCTATATAGAATGACAAAACAGTGACCAATCACATAAAAATACTATATATAAAATGATGAAACAGTGACCCTTTACAAAAGAATGCTATATAGAATGACAAAACAGTGACCAATCACATAAAAATACTATATATAAAATGATGAAACAGTGACCCTTTACAAAAGAATGCTATATAGAATGACAAAACAGCGACCAATCACATAAAAATACTATATATAAAATGATGAAACAGTGACCCTTTACAAAAGAATGCTATATAGAATGACAAAACAGTGACCAATCACAGAAAAATACTATATATAAAATGATGGAACAGTGACCCTTTACAAAAGAATGCTATATAGAATGACAAAACAGTGACCAATCACAGAAAAATACTATATAAAATGATGAAACAGTGACCCTTTACAAAAGAATGCTATATAGAATGACAAAACAGTGACCAATCACAGAAAAATACTATATAAAATGATGAAACAGTGACCAATCACAGAAAAATACTATATAGAATGACAAAACAGTGACCAATCACAGAAAAATACTATATAAAATGATGAAACAATGACCCTTTACAAAAGAATGCTATATAGAATGACAAAACAGTGACCAATCACAGAAAAATACTATATAGAATGACAAAACAGTGACCAATCACAGAAAAATACTATATAAAATGATGAAACAATGACCCTTTACAAAAGAATGCTATATAGAATG